TGTTAATAGTTCTATCACTCGAAGTGGAGTCGAAAGAGATGAGTTTTCAGTCTGCGCCGGAAGATTTGTAAGCTTTTTGCTGTCCTGATGTCAATGGGGAGCTCATTCCACCGAGCAGAGGGGACCGTGCTTTCTCTGCTGCCGCCCCTAAACTGTGGAACAACCTGCCCTTGCTAATCAGACAGGCTCCCACACTGTCTGTTTTTAAATCCCGTCTTAAAACCCAGCTCTTCTCCTTAGCATTCGGAATCAAGTAGATTGTTGCTTTTATTTGCTTGCAGTGGTCTATTGTTGGTTATTTTTATTTTGTAATTGTTACATTTATTCTGGTTTGTTTTGTGTTTCGGATCTTTTATGTGATTTTATACTTATTTTCATGTTTTGTGAGCTGAGCTGTGTGATTTTATATTGCATGTATCTCTCTGCAGCACTTTGGTCTGGAGGTTTTAAAGTGCTTTATAAATAAAGTTGGATTGGATTTATAAATCATTATCAGCTACACATGTAAGTTTATCTTGTGCTGATTAATGTTTTCACTGTTTGATTTCTAGAGTTTAGTTAAGGTTCCTACCACAGAGATCCTGCTGTAGGAACTACATGGAAATTGAAGATTACACAACCGTGTTCAGTTCTGTGTTCACAAGCCTTCCTGTCTAGTGTGACTGTAGGGAACCAAGTCTTTGTTCCAAAACAAATTAGGCTTAAAAAAAGCAGGTCGCTGGCAGGATATTAATTAGTTCCTCAAACCACTTCCCAATAACATACTGTCCTTAACACCTCATAAGATACTTGTGTATGGCTGCGTTAAAACAAGCCACTACTGTTACTACCCATGCCATTGTGACTATGATTGTGTTGGAGACAGTATATAATTTAGAGCCTCATTTTAAGTAATAAGTTAAAACAATAGATGTCATGAAAAAAACGAGTTGATGTTTCACATACCAAAACCCTTTATTGTTTTATTTACAACCGTGGCTGATGTTCTTATGACTAAAGTGCTGATGAGGCTAGAGTGGCGAAGTCACGCCCACTTACTTCCGCATCATGGGACCTTATTCCGAAAAAATAATACATTGAAGTCAATGGAGAGAGAAAACGTATCTTTTGATCCCGTTTCAATTTTGCCATGAATTACACATATGTTGTTTGTCAATCTTAAAAAATCATTTCCATGTCAAAAAATTCAAAGTTTGTCTTAAAACTGTTGAAATATAAGACTATGAAAAATACACAACTAGAAAGACTACAAATCCCAGAGTCGCGTAAGTGCTGTCATAACTGATGTATTTCCTCCAGATAGCTAAAAATACATTTACTTACTGTACTTACTTACTTTAACAAGATGCCTGGGTGCTTTGTACCAGGTTGTTATCATACCAGTAATAGTACCTCTTGCTCGTTCTTTTGCTTGCCGTCTGATAAAAGGACCAGGAGTCGCTGGATCAAACACATCAGGTAAACTACATGTTGTGCATGGAACATTGTCAAGTTTAGTTACCTAGCTAGTAGCAAGCACGTTAGTAGCCTTATCATGAATTAACATAAGTAAACCAAAATGTTAAACAGTAAGAG